AGGATGAAAATGTGACATATGATAAAAGGTGCGCAAATAGTGAATGCAATCATTAAAAAGTACTTTTAAAATGTTTTTGGGCAATATATACTGTACAAAGTGTTGTGTTTATTTAATTAAATGAATAATATTCTTAACTTTATTCTTATAGCATTTTTGCTAATAATGAAAACCTCATGATGGAACCGAAGTTTGTTGTCTTCCTCTTGCAACTGTTGGAACTATTCAAAGTTTGTGCAACATGCAAGAAGCCTGATGTGCTGGTAGAAATGAAAGAGGTTGGTACAATGGTTCAAGTTGAGATGACGTGCAACAACAAAAGATGTCGAGAGGGGGAATAAAGTCTGGAAAAATCAACCATTGATGCCTGGCACTTTAAGGATTGTCCTCGTAATAAAAAATAATTACAAAAAAATTTGACATTACATTAATTTGCAAACTACATACTAGCTAATTAAATTATAGATGTATTATTTTTTTATGCATTGTTCAAATCTAGAGTGCACCCCCCCCCCCACAGGAACTTGCTCATTTTATGTTGTTTCCCAGGGGTGGGTCATTTGAAAACCAAACTCAACCCAGTGGTGAGGCATTTGAAATCAATTAGGCCAAAAAATACCATGGTTTCCTATCATATGTTACAAAAACCTAGGAAGAGTAGGTCGGTTTTGAATTTTTTATTTCATTTTTATGAATTTTATACATCATATCACAAACCAGTGAGCTCTAAACACCAGGAACCCTGGTATTATTTTTGGCCTTATAAAATTAATCCAAATCAGTTTTTGTATTGATCTCACTTCAAGTGTTTGCAAATGGCGGATATGCCTCGGACATCAGTCACACTTCGGGGAACTTTCCACTTTTTTACCAATCTAGGAATTAACCCATTGAGTCGCATTGCGCCCTGATGCACCCTACTTTATTATTTTACTCTGTCTAACGCCAGACGATTTTACTCGTCAAGGGGAGAGCGCTGGTGCTTAATGGGTTAACTGGCCTATCTGCCCATGTGTCTATTTAACCCATTGAGTCGCATTGCGCCCTGATGCACCCTACTTTATTATTTTACTCTTTCTAATGCCAGACGATTTCACTCGTCAAGGGGAGAGTGGTTGGGTTAACAAGATATATTGATTTAAACTGTCAGAAGCCCTGGGGGTGTGCACTTTTGGATGCATAATATTATTGTGATGATATCATTCCAACTCTTCATCATCCTCAAAACCGGCTTTGAAGTCTTTTCCACCAAAAGCTTGTCTTATGGCATGATAAGCACATGTTGGTAAAGGTATTCTTCTCTTTCCCAAGTATCCATAAACCAATTGTATATACTATATACTCTCTATAGGCAACACTTCGGAAATACCTATAATATAAGAAACTTTTCATGTAATATTTGTAATGGTTTTATATAAATGAAATTTTCTGATTGATAACAAATTGTGGGGATTTATCAGGGTTAAAAATGGCTATATTATATTGTTTAATAAATATATATATATTATTACATATATGTGTCTTGCCTGTTTTCATCACCTTCCACGTTATACTTCCTGCCATCTATTTTTCGAAATTTACGCCCTGCCAGACGCAATGACCAGGGTGATAAACAGACCGAACCAAAGCCTGGATGAAGCGTTATGCAATTTGGCTCAGCACCTACTTCTTGTAAAACAAGTTCTGTTCCTTCTGTCCCTGTTCTAAGCAGCCTTCGATTTCTTGGCAGCATTGAGCCTCTCTCTCTCATTTACCAGTAAATCGACTTTACATAGTTCGCATGTACACCTGAAATAAAAAGGAACACCATATAATATCATTGTGATTTGTCAAACGAAAAAGGAAAACATTTTTACATGAGTGTCAACACTAGCCTGCGTACGCCGTAGCGTCTACACAAAATGTAAACACGAGCTCTGTCTCTGAGTCTGAGCTCACATATAGTATACATTTCACCTACCAATTTGATACGGGGATGGTTCCGTTCAAGCGAGACATAAGCAGCTGTCGTCTCCCTTCTTCGGCACGTCTCTCTTCGTTGTATTGAGCTATCCAAGCTGGATCAGCAATCGGTTCGTCTTGGTAAGGTTGTCAGCCTGGCCACTGGTCTTCATCGCTTTGTATTGAGCTGTCTGTGGGAGGCTGAACTGCATTATCTTCGATTTCCATTATATAATTTGGTAAAAAAATCATATCCGAATCAAGTTGGCTGTCCGTATTGTCGGAAAAACTTGACGACATTGTTTAAACGAAAAGTTAACCCAAAATGTTATTAAACGGAAAAATCGGACGATATTTTGGACTAAAATTCTATACTGTTTTATTATGATGATGCTTGGCAAGTTTAGCGTGTTCTCATTCTTACGTCACTTCCGGCGGTTAACGCCGATTAGTTACCAGTACTTTCAAGCTCGCGGTAATTCGAAAAATCACCAACTTTGAGGCCCAAAAAGTCCATGAAGATCAAATTTTCGTCTAGTCAAATATATTGCAAATGTTCTTAAAATCGTCTAAACTATCAGTAAAAGTCATTTTCCTGACCCTGATATAGGCACTTTAAAAGAACGAGACATTGATATAATGATGTAATTGTAAGGAAGGTATATTTTTTAGTGGCTACGCAGTGAGTTTTTAAAAGAACGAGACATTGATATAATGACGTAATTGTAAGGACAGTATATTTTTAGTGGCTACGTGGCTACGCAGTGAGTTTTTAAAAGAATGAGACATTGATATAATGACGTAATTGTAAGGAAGGTATATTTTTTAGTGGCTACGTGGCTATGCAGTGAGTTTTTAAAAGACCGAGACATTGATATAATGACGTAATTGTAAGGAACGTATATTTTTTAGTGGCTACGTGGCCACACAGTGGTATAATTTGGTGTAAAATTAGCAAAAGAGAGGTATTTCCGTTATACTTCCTTGATATTGTAATTTGATAGCGCGTGACTGCGTAGCCACTGGAAATGTAGCTACGCAGTAAAAAATGACTAGTGGACGGGTATGCTACAATTTAGCCACAGTGGTTTCTCACTCAAGTTATAACTTGACCAATCTGCTGTGGTCGAAATTGTCATCCAAAAGTATTTTTAGAAATAATATTAAAAGTTGCTAGTCTGACCCAGGGGTATCAGACACAAATCCATACTGGAAAGTTTGTATGTTGCGCCAAAGATCTTTGGCGTGCAGAAATTATATATGCGCCAAAATTTGGCGCATAATTAGCTAAAAATCTGAATGTTCTCGTTTTGGCGTGGCAGCTTGAATGACACATATGTACCAGATTTTGGGGCAACTAGAGCTTGAAAGAATGAAAAGTTGAAATTCACGTACTCACGTAAATGAAAAATTTTCCTGCTACAATATTTATATGTTTCATTAATTGCTTCTGGTGCTTCGGTGTTTTTCGACATATCGATATAAATGTTTTGACAGTTTTGTTTTCAATATGGAAACACCATCGTCGCCTGAGTCAGGGGCCTGTACAGATAATTTAATATTTAAAGTACGTGGTCAACGCAATTTATTATTTATCTATCTTTGAGAATTGAGCCGAGTATGTTCACGTGTAACACGATATAACATGAATTATAACACTCAATTACTAATTACACAGGCCGCAGCCGGTGTCATAGAATGCCCTCGCTGAAAATGCTGTCTTTTTCGGTTTTTTTTGTTGTCGCAAGTGTGACTTTCCAATTTCCATTGCGGCATCGTGGGCTCAGGATTGCGCAATTTAGCTAAAACATGCTCACGCTGTCTCGTATTTAACTACGTTACAAATCTTAGACGCTGTAATTGTTTATTTATTTATTTATTTATTAACTTTACAACCATACATAAAATAGACTAAAAAACTACATAATATGGTTAAAGGTATGGCCCCATATGAAGACCAACCTTAATGAAAACAAACTATAACAAACATAAATCAAAGATGATAACAAATATAAAATTTACAGAAAACATGACGAATTACGAACAACAGCTTAAGTTGAAAGAGCGGCACTTAGAACAGAAGGTTTTCCAAGTGCGCATTCTGTTTACATCGAAAGATGAATGAAGTAGAGAAGAGTAATGAACAGTTAGTCTGTTTTTAAAGGAGGAAACAGATGAACTATTACGAATGGTAGGAGAGAGATTATTCCAGAGAAAGACAATTCGGTTGAAAAAAGAGTTCCTAAAGAGAGAAGTCCTGCAATGATTGACACGAAGCAAGTTGTCCGAACTTGAACGGGTGTGAGACGAGCTGTTTGAAGAAAAAATGACGAAAGAGGAGATATCTAGGTCGAAGAGACCGTGCCTACATTTAAAAAAGAAGACGAGATCCTTTAGTTCCATCCAGTAGGATATTGGTAATAAGTTAAGCTTTTTAAAGCGTTCAGGATATGGCAACTCATAATCCTGAAGGATAAATTTACTAGCTCGTCTTTGAACACCCTCGATGATCGCAAGATCACATGACGATCCTTGAGGTGCCCAGATCTCACTACCATATGACAGATGAGATCGGACGAGAGCAAGATAAAGAAGCCTACGGCAGCGAATATCAGACATTTGCGTACAATTCCTACGAAGAAAACCAAGCATACGATTGGCTTTTGCAGTGCAGCTGGCGATGTGAGGGGACCACTTTAGGTCATTGCTGATAACAACACCCAAGTCTACTTGGTTAGCTATGCTCTTAACTGGATCGTTATTAAGAAAGTAGCAAGTATTGTGGGACGTATTTTGTTATATTTCATTGCGCATGCGCTTGAATTTTTCTGTGTTTTTGCTGCCGAACGTAGCGAGGCAGCACACTATTCTTAACACGCGGTGGTTTCTCCAGAGTCCACTCGACCCAGTCTTTCGCGCGATCTATGTATTGTCGAAATCTCGATCTTGTGTCTGTCGGGATTTCCGGGGAAATAATTAAGCTCTGGTACCTTAATTATTTTGAGGGGGGAGGTCGAGATAGTTTTTCTATTGCACACGCATGTTTTCTTCAATGTGCTCGAGAACAAGACGATAAGTCAAGACTCAAGGTTTTTAAAAACGAACGGCAAACGATGGAAAATATTCAGAAAAATCAGGTAGGTATGGCTTTATTTCTTTCTGCTTATATACATCAAGGCGATGACCTTTTTAGTGCCCAATCTAGTGGCAATCGATTGGTCAAAAACAACATTTAACAATGTCTTATTTATACAAGAGGACAAAATGTACTTAAGAGCTCTGAATAACGGCTTAATTGTCTTGGAACCAAGTATTGAGTTCTTGTCTGTAGATAACTTACCAAAAGTTGTCAGTGTTTCATGTTGTAGGAACATGTTTTTGTATGAGATTGATCTGATGCCACAAATAAGTAGTGCACAAAGTATAAACATTAATCTGCCCATTGTGGTGGAAAGTAACATTGATTTACCCATTGTGGTAGAGCCCATTGACGCACAAAAGAAAAGCGATCTGCCCATTGTGGTAGAGCTGTTGAGGCAAAAACTTTGATCTGCCCATTGCGGCAGAGCCCATTGAGGCAAAAATTATTGATCTACCCATTGCGGTAGAGCCCCATTAAGGCACAAAACAAAAGTGATCTGCCCATTGTGGTAGAGCCCATTGAGGCACAAAATAACATTGTCATTGATTTGCCCATTGTGGTAGAGCCTATTGAGGCAAAAACTATTGATCTACCCATTGTGGTAGAGCGCATTGATTATATTCCACTGTTGCTGAGACTGGCAAATGATGTTGACGAAATATTTATGCACATCTTTACAGTAATTAATAATCAGGCTTAATAAGATTCCTATATAGCAACCCAGTGTGGATTTTTGTCTGCATATATTAACTTACTAGCAGTAATAGCATGTCAACTGATCGACTTTTCTTTGACGGTCTGTTTATATGTCCGAGATATGTCCATTGTTAGCATAATATGAAATAACAACGGCCTAATCATATGTTCACTTGACTGTGTTGCTACATTTCAGGGTATACTATATTTTTTGATAATGCTCACAATTTCTTTCTTATTATATAGTTTTGCAGTTCTGACTGAGTACAATCCTAATCATTACAATAAATGGTGTCATCTCATCGAAAGCCGATGTATTAATTGATTGTTCAGAAACAGATTGTTCAGGTGTTCTGTGATAGGGGTCGCATTAAAACAATAATTGGGACAAAAACTGACTTAGTATTTCTATATATGATATTATACAGTATTTAGTGGCAATTAGCTAGCCATGGCAACTGGTCATGCTACAGTATATCATTTGGATAATGCAAATATAAATGTTATGGCTAGCTTTGCCACAGACATGCAGTATTATAATTATACATACAAAAGTAAGAACTTATAAGCATTGAAAGTAATCCTATTATACTGTCCATGCAGGCCATGCTAAGAAAGTAGAATTAGAATATTTAGCTAACCTTTGATTTTGTGCAAGGTGTTTGATATTCAAATTGCATTTTTCCCACTTCCTGAACAGGTATCTTATGGGCTATTTACATGTTGGAAGGTGGGATGATTTTGATGTATTGAAATAAGGCTAAACAAAAGTTCAAATGCTGGTTAATTAACAGAAATTAAATGTTGTACAGAAGATCTAGCAGTTCAAGCAGCTTATTATTACCAGGGGTGTTGGAACAACTGTAAAAGTGGGGGAGGAATGCGGGTGACAACAGGTAACAGTGTAGGGGATCCAGGGGCATGTTCCCCGGGATAATTTAAAAACTATATTCACTGAAATGCCATGTCCTGCACTTTAAGAGATTTATAGAGTTCTAAAGCTAACAAAATTCCAACACCCCTGATTGTTGCCTGAACAACCTTTCATTTACAGTTAATTATAATCTATCTGAATCTTATTTTCTTTTGTAGTCTTTTGCTGTATTGGCTTGTTGCATTTTTAATCCAACCCCCCCCCCCTATGGAGGACATCCATTTTTTGGACCCCCTCCCCTGGAATTCCGCAGATGTCGACGAGTTTCCATCCTACCCCCTGGAATTCCACGATTTTTTTACAAATTTCCAGCCTAGCCCATGGAATTTCCACAGATTTTTAATGAATTTTTACTCCTACCCCATGGAATTTCCACAGATTTTTAATGAATTTCTACTCATCCCTTGGAAATTCCACCGATGGTTTTGACCTAGTCTCTATAATTTCCACATTTTTTGTGTAATAGGTAACCATCCCTTGGAATTTCCATGTTGTTTTTTTAACCTACCCCGTGGAATTTCCACAGATTTTCTTTAAAATTTCGACCCTCCCTTGGAAATTCCTTCTTTTTTTGTTGAATTTTAGGAAGGGGGGTCTGGAAATTCCAGTATCCTCCATAGGGGGGAGGGGGGGGGGTGGTTTAAAAATGCAATAGGCCATTGTGCACCATAACTTATTTCAATACATCAAAAATAATCCAGCTTCACACATCTTGTCCCGGCAAAGCAGGATCATATAAACAGCCCCTTATTCAGCAAATTGTGCATGCTGCCTTTGATCCCTTCGGGGGGTGAGGCAGCATTTTCCTTGTGATAGTAACTCCTAGTTTATATAATATCGCTGAACTCTGTTGGTTTTGTATGGATTTTTATTGTGCCGTCCTCTGAATATGTATTTGCAATCATGAAGTGACGGCCGTCAAGAAGCGAAGAACATCTACATGTTTCAAATTATTTTTTAGAATATTGCGATGGTTTTATTTTTTAGAATATTGCGATAATTTTTTAGAATATTCAGTTCGTGACACAGGGTACAATTTAAGAAATTCTGAGACGATATTAAATTTGCCCAAGCCACGAACAAAGTACTTAAAACGAAGCTTTTGTTATAGCGGTGCCTACTTGTGGAACAGTCTTCCTCAAGATATACGAAAGCTTCAAACATTTCCACAATTTAAGAAAGCTGTAAATAAGTATTATAATTCAAGTGAACTCCCACACGGCAATCTTGTAAACCAGTAGTAGTAGATATAATTGATGTGTGTATGTATAATCTATAACTGTCTTAATACTCTTATAATAGTTAGATTGTCCATGTACTGAAGATTTTACAGTGTTTAAATAAATTTGTATTGATTGATTGATTGCAGCGAGGACAGTGTGAACGTCTGAGCAGGTGCCTTGTTTAACAAGTGTTTTCTGACCATCAGAATTCCGCAAAATCTTCCCCCAAAGTCCAGGAAATGGCATTTGAGAGACTCTAGGTTCAATGCTCGCGCCCACAGCGCTCGCCTCTTCCCGTTCTCTCGTGCCTGCGAATATCGCCTGCTACGTAGGCTAGTGCTCGCCTTGTGTCTCCGCCAATCTCATTTGGCGCACGTTAGTCCCGCTGGAAGAACTTTTTTGGCGTGCAATATTTTGGTGAAAATTGCGGCACAAAATCTTTGGCGCGCGAAACACGAACTTTCCAGTATGGACACAAATTGACAGTTCAATGCAGCTCTTACTGGGGAATATTGACTTAAATTACCCCATGGGTATGCCTGAACATACTCCCTACATTGGTGGGAGACATCAATAGGTACATCATTTCACCCAAGATAACAACTTGTAATCCACAAAGTTATGTAAAGTTCTTCTTAAAGATTTTAGTAAGTTCTACCAGTGTCTTTTGCAAGCCCTTGAACAAACATGAGCTAATTCTTACAGTGGTCATAACAGAACCTCTGAACTGTACAGTGTGTCCCCAAAAATGGAATCCTATTAAACTAGAAAATACATGCATGCAGAAACCCTTGCCTTGCTGTCAAAACCATTGTATTTTCCGAACATGAAGTATCTAGAGTAGTTGTCATAGTAACATGATAATTTTTTAAGAATATTCTTACAAATTGCCTAAAAATATCACTTTTAATTACAAAATTATTAATTTCCCAACATATATATGTTAGATATGTTATTGTACATAATATAAGCTTCAATTTAAGGTAAAATTCAACCACAAACGCTTTGCAAAACGTTTTAATTAAAATGTTCTTTATAAAACTAAACTTTGCTTTCTTTTTTATTTAAAAAATTCAATATCATAAAAAGGGGAATCAATATTAAAGATATACTGAAATTTTATGCTGTCTTGTTTAGTTGTTTCATATACGCAAAGGCCGTCGGGTTTTAAATCCATTATAAAATCAATATTTAAAACAAACTTACCTTTGTTAACATCGGCTCCCTTCTTTTAGCCGATTCTTTCGCCCTTTCTTTATGAGAAAACTTTTGAAATTTACAAAATCTTGCAAAAATATGAGCAAAATATTCATCAATCATCCAATCAAGAAATATTTGCTATTTTGCTGTCATCATGCAGTCGTTATAATGCAAACTTTAAATTGGACCAACCAGTGTCTGCTATTCATGATGGTCCACCATATTTTTGAGATCAGTGAGGATGACCACCCATGGTTGGTCACCCATGCCCGCAATAATTGATGAACTTTTTAGACTTCCCAAATGCTTTCGTTTCCCCAGGTGTAAATAGCGGGGGGGGGGGGTAATTAATACCCTCGCTAGGGGATTAAGAAGTAATTAGGCATTGTTTTCAAATTTCTAGCTGTTTTAAAAAGGATTAATTAAAATTATGTATTCTTTTCAAAACAGTTAGAAATTTGAAAAGAATACATTACTGACTTCTTAAATGGGACACACAGTACATATGAACAACAGCTCAAAGAGTTAAACCAAAAATTATGGCTTGTGACAGAATTCTTGGGTGCAAGTTTCAGTTAGATTCATGGTTCCCATACTGCTTTTCACCATAAACTATGGTGACTGTGTTGGAGGGGGGGGGAAAGGATAGCCAAGAATTTGCTCATCAGTCACAATTTTGTCTTCACTTTTGAACTGCAATTGGCCTTCCATACATACAGTTCATTGAACATAACCTGAAATAACAGTCAAAACTGCCAGAAGAAAAGTCTGTCCACAATGAAATTTGGTTGGAAATTTTCAAATTTGATCAGACATTGTTTCTGATTTCATTTTGACTCCTGGCCTCTGTCTGATAAATTAAAATAACACTTTATGCTAATTACACACAGTAATAGTTAACATAATGTTTGAAAGATTGATAAATGTGACCACAAATGAACATTTGGTCGGTAAAAATGTAATTTGCTGGTAAAACATCCAAGATTTGACTGTTATCTTATTTTCAAAAATTTTAAAAAATGACATAACAGTAACACAACATCTTTTAAAACCAGTGGCATACACTTCACAAAATATTGGAGGTGCCATTCAAATGGTTTGATACGAAATTAGGGCATTAGCCCCCTTCAAGAGTCTGCCACTGTTATTACAGTCAAACTAGATGTTTTATTCCAAGTAAGATTGCAACACAGCATTGCAACATTGATTTGATTGGCTAGTTGGTGCCACATAGTATGGGGCGCCAAGTGTAAATTTATTATTTAGTAGAAAAACGGGTGAACTTTTCCGTTATTTATAAATAATGGAATAAAGATGACATTATTTATATATAATAACTTTTAGAGATTTACATTATTTATATATAATGAAAGTCGTAAAACAATTATTTATATATAATAACTATAGGAGATCTGTATTATTTATATATAATGAAAGTTTTAATGCTATTATTTATATATAATGAAAGTTGTAAAACAATTATTTATATATAATAACTTTAGGAGATCTGTATTATTTATATATAATGAAAGTTTTAATGCTATTATTTATAAATAATAAAAGTTGTAAAACAATTATTTATATACAAGTTGGTTTCTTAGAGTAATTATTTATAAATAATATGCTGTTTCGTCTCTTATTATTTACATATAAATAAGTTGACAAATCTATTAGTTATAGCAAAGCTAAGTGCAGTTTAGTAGTTATTTATAAATAAGGATTGCATTGCTCGCTTACAAGCATTATTTACATATAATGGAATTTCGCGTATCATAAATTTACACCTTCACGCGCCAAGTGTAAATTTATTATTGGCGGGAAAAATGCGTGGTTACCAAGGCTGAAAGCGCTCCTTATTAAAATATGGCCGCCGATCGCGAAGCTCTTTCGAGGACGATTTCAGAAGCTGTTTCTAGAGCAGTTACCGACGCATTGACTGCAACATTATCGCCGGTAAGTATAGATAATATTTCGCCCTTTTTACCTTTTGAATTTTCTATGAATAAAGAACAGGGTATAACCGAATGTTTGTATTTTACAAATCTCAATAGCAACTGCCTCGTGTTGACTCACCAGCTGCTATCTCCCAAGCCCGGCAAACTCTTTCTTCCGCTGGCACTTCTGGGACTGCAAGCAGTAGTCGGATAAGGGAACAGGTGATTATGGTTTTAAATCTTTTCAAATAGAATTTGGATGTACAGAAGCGTAGGGGGGGGGGGGTGCCGATGATTTTTTCCAGGTTCAGAGATCTTCCTAGTTTTGTGTTTATCACTGGCCAGCCCACCTATGTGTTTAGGGACTGGTTATTACATACAGGGAGTGGGGGGGGGGTGGAAAATTCAAGGTACATAATTTTTGACAACCCATCCCTGTGATCCCATGCACCCCCCCCCCCAAAAAAAAACATTGCTAAAAATAGTAATGATCCACCCCTAATTTGATATTTTCCTGGAAACCAAAAGCAGGGGAGCAGGGGAGGGTGAGCCACCATAAAGTAATAGTTATCGAACCACTAAAATTTCGTAGCAGAGAAGAACCTTGACTTAAAGTCAGCTTATATCCTGAGTTCAGCTATAGTATAAATGTGCAAGCGTGCCTAGGATTTCAACTCACAACCTATGCATTCCACCTGATCTAACTTCTGAAAACAAACTCGCTGAAAGAATTAACAAAAATAACACTTCCTGCTGGACACAGTCACTTTCATGTTTATAGATTAAAAAACGGTGGCCCACTCCTGTCAAGATTACATTTCACTTTAATCTCCTTTAGGCAAGTAAGCAAATCCTTAATGGTTGAAAAATTAAAAAGGCATAGATTACTTTCCCTCTCTACATTGTAAATACTATAATTCAAGTTGCTCCAATTTGTTAATATATATATATATATACATATACATATACATATATATACATGTATATACATAATATATATATATATATATATATACATATATATATATATATATATATATATATATACATATATACATATACATATACATATACATATACATATACATATATATATATATATATATATATATATATATGTATATATATATATATATATATATTAAGTCATTTATCTCAGAGATAGTAATATTTTATACGATTGGATTGGATGAACTTTCAAGAGAGGGATTGATTAGAGAATAAAAAAAGTACAAAAAAAAGCAGAGTCTGGGAAATTTTTATAGGCCAATCTGGCCTAAATTAACCAGGAGATTGCTAGTAGACATAATATTGTCTGATTTAAATTTCATTTTTTTTAATTATGCTTTTGATGCTTGCAGGATAATGTTAGACTACCGTCAGCGTTTGATCGACTGCAGAACAGTCACACACATGTCCAGCCAAAAAAGAGAAGAACGCAAAGCTGTATTAAGCAAAAAGTTGTAAACAAAAATATAATTTGCGTCCTACAAACTGATGACCCAAGCAAAGCAATACCTATTCCAAGGGGAGAGAGTCGGGCACGCCTTGCTGAAGCAGGATTAACAGGAAAAATAGCCATTAATTCAATTTGGCAGGAGGCAGAAGTAAGGTGTGAAATCAGCAACTTGTTTGCTTCAGCATTTGGCCTATCAGATGGAGAAGTTTTGCCCTTTGTATATTTAAGGTACCGGTATTTAAATTAAAGTGATCTAACTGTTTTACTTATTGCTAATTAACATAAATTTAATTAACACAATTAAAAAATAGTGGAGGAGAGTGAGCCTGCAAGAAAAACCTACTTTCTTGATTTAACTCCTAATAATAAAAATATTAAATCTAATTAAAAAATTGGCCAATAATATCACAGCAGGGCTATAGGGAACACGTAGACCAATCGAATTATACGTTCAAAAATTAAATGCTGTTTTGTCAGAAAAGCAGGGTTAATCCTGGAGACCCTGTTCTTGGTTCTCCATGACTCTGTGAAGACAAAATGGATCCTGTTTGGAAACTAATGCATGCTGTACACATTCATTATATAGCAATGTTCCTGGAGGAAGAAAGTTGTGCATTCCAAAAACGTCAAGATCATTTAAATGGAATGCATCTGAGGTTATATCCACAGCAGCACAAGGTTCTTTGTACGTAATGGCAGAAATACCTCCACTGACCTGTCCTGCAGCAGAAAAACAAGTAAGTTTGTCTCTTTATTAAATGTTTATGCAATTGCAGTGTCATCACTCCTAAAGTTTTCAAATCTAACAGGGAAAAAGCCAGAAGGAAAGGGAGAAAAGAATAGAAGGGCCACTCATGTCAGAAACTTGTGTACCTGTGCATGTCGCATCACACATGTCGCATTATGCATGACCATCATTATCCCGAACAGTCACAACTGCATGTTATTATTATTATTATCATCATTATCATCTTTATTATGGTCCACTAAAGTATATGTGCAAAATAATTATAAATTAATAACTAAAAGTAAGAAATAATCAAACACCCTATTAAATGGGCGAGACGCAAACAGGACTCGAAGAACCATCCAAAGGCGCCTGCCCAAACCTAATGAAAAGTTACTAGGTTATTAAACCCCATTGGTGCACACCTTCAAGGTATAAAGTTTAAATTAAGAACTAACGTAAATCGCCCCAAATGCGCGTCCCACAATGTTAATAAACATTCTAGTCAGCAACTGGCTGATCCGCCATTGCTGCACACAAAAGGGCATAATTTTCCACCGCTAAGTTGTTTTTCATTCCCTATCCTGTGCATTTATTATGTTACAATATCTCATTCTTATATTTGATTTAAGAGAAAAATCCTGCATGAGTCATATTTATACTGTAGTAACACTTGGTTTCTTACATTTTTATTGTATAGAGTTTGTCTGATAACGAAAGTGATGGAGACCAACCCGACCTGCAACCGACTAGAACCTTATCAATGATTCAAAGACCTGCTGCCACACCCACTGAAACTCGAAGACCAGTTGTTACTAGCCCCATTCTTGGAAAACCCACAATCTCCTCTGAAACTAATTCACCATCAACATCGTATAAGTAAGCTTTTTACTATTGCTGTACAGTCAATAAAGTATGTCACAAAAACTATTTTCATAAAGTAGCTTTTACAGAAACAATTTCATCAATTCCCAACTCTAAATCATCAATATTGCCATTAACAAGTCAGGGAAAATGTAAAATTGTTAATCGCTTTGTAAATCATGGTAATTATGCACATGTATAATATGAAAAGTATAACAATATAAAAGTATATAAGCGGATGTATATTCAACATGTTTCTGCACTTATTTGTTTACACAGCTCATATGTATCATTAGTGGACGAGGACGAAACAACTGTAATGATAAGCTCAGATGAAGAGGAGCCAATGCAATCTCAAGGCCAAGAGCAAAGGTATTGAGCATCAGTCGAGTTTTAAAATTTACACATATATAGCAGCGATGCTAGCAATGTAGAACGTTAAAGCTGGGGTTGATGACACAAACGAAGACGCAGTAATTCCCCATAAAAAATAACATGTGACAATGAGATAATTTGTGTTTTAGGTTTTTCAACCACATGACGTCATAGCGTTGACTATTGTTTTCAAATCAACGACTCTACGTTACGACGTTAGAACGTTGATTAATACTCGATCGTTAATGATAATCGGTCTGCTTATTGATTGGTATGACTAATTATGTCCTTTATCTTAGAACCAGTCCTGACTTACTTACGTTACAAGCGATTCTTATGAAGTTAAGAAATGATAATGTTGACGAACACAGTCACAGGCGGTCATTAATTAATGTCCGAAGGAAGCACGTTTGGGAAGATGCCAGTCGACACCTGTTAAGAAAAAAGTTCGACCCGAAGGCTATTATCTCTGTTAAATTTGCGGATGATGATGGTAACAGCGAGGGAGCGATCGACGCTGGTGGACCTCGAAGAGAGTTTCTCCGACTGCTCATCAAAGCCGCTAATGAGCATGCTGGGCTATTTTACGGCAAGCTGGATCAGAGAGTCCTTTTTCCAAATGCGACAGGTATGAGAAATTACGAAAAAGACTGGACTGAAAAGAGAACAAAGAAAATACTCAAAATTAGTAATATAATGTTTTCTATTTATGCTATTGCAGCACGTGCCAAAGGTCATTACAAGCTTGTTGGTACGATCATCTGCTGGTCATTGGTGCACGGAGGCCCAGGGGGAAATTTTTTTAGCAAGACGCTTTTTGATGCCATTGCATTTGGAATTGGGACGAAAGACGCTGAAATAAACGACATTCATGACAATGAAGTGCTAGAAAAGATTAATAAGGTACTGACTACTTTTTCTTTATATATAATTGGAGTTTTCCTATCGTATGATTACTCTGTAGCTTGGAAACTAAAATATCTAATGACGTATAAAAAAATCTTGGGTGATCCTATTATCAAATAGAGATTGGGAATAACCGAAGTTTGACAGTCATAAATATAACTACAGTATTTGGCCCTCCGACCAATTTATCAATTCTTGGGTTTCATATGACGTCATAGATTTCAGTGGGGGTCAACTTTAAATCGAGACACAGTCCTCGGAGTGAGTCCATTCTTTACTGTATGTGTTGACGTTGTGCTTCGTAGCAAATCGGTGCACTGATTTCGTGTCATTTGCTCACTCCCGTTCAGCATAAGCGCCAATACATTTGAGGTTGACCCCCACTCAATTCACTATCTAAAACGCTTAATGAAACCCACCAATTAGCCATTCCGAAGTTGATGAGTGGACTGGGGACAAGTGTTAAAAAGTCCCCTAATAAAGAAATGAACCAAATCACTAAAAAGACCACCTCAAAATGAGTAAGTATACAAAGTTTGAAGACGTTTACATGAATAACCTACGAATTATTACCTTTCGAAGATTGTGAAATTGCTGATTAAAGGATTGCTTTTGGGACGCGCGAAGTTTAAAGGTTTTTCATATTAATAATAAACATGCACTTCTTTATTAGGTTAAATTTGCAAACACCCTTGACGAATTGAATCGGTATCTGAAAGAAGAGTATCTGCAATGCATATTACAAGCCCAAGGTCATTCCCTCCAGGCGTCATGTTTCGACGAAAAATCTAAATTTGTCAAAGCCATTTTAAATTACGTGTTAGTGGATTCCACCAGGTATCTACTAGAAGAGCTAATTGATGGATTTAAGGTGATGGGTGTACTTGACGCAATAAGACAATATCCTGAACAGTTCCTAGAAGTGTTATGTAAGAACGATACCAAGTTAGATGCGATCATGGTCGACCTTATTTTTGAAGTCCACTTAGCGGAAGACGGTACAAATATACGTCCAACTCAAGAGAGAGCTGTAGTATTTTGGAGAGATTTCTTGCAAGATTGTTGCGGTAAGTAGCACATAGTACATACAGCAATAATTTCACACCCCTGCTTATGAGATATCACTGTAGTATAAGGCATAATCAAATTAATTTTTTAACACTAAGTAGGCTCGTGGAAATGTACCCGGTATATATTTGTATCTTTTCACGATCTGTTACACTTACTTTAAATTATGAAATTAGATTATGATAATTACGATAATACACCAAAACAACTACAATAAAAACTAGAGGGCACTCAGAGACTGCATACCTCCGCCCGTTACTCGGAAGTGAAAGGCAACCTTGGAATTTCCTAAGAAATCCACTTTACAATTCTTAAGCATAAAAGATTTCAGGCCCCCGCGAATTGAAATCGAATTGCTAATAGAACATATTACTGTTGTTGTGCTGTACAGTACTTGTAAAATAAAAACTTATTAAGTGTCATTAAATAAATGCATAAATTTTGCTTTATGCACTCGCGCGTGCAGTAATTTTCACAGTTGTGCTATTTTAAATTCCCAGGCAGCTAAAATCTTTTGTCTTTAAAACAATGTCGATTTCTTGGGAAATTCCGAGGTTGCGTTCTTTTTATACACCCTGTATTGAAGTAATCTAATGTTGTTAGAATTTGAATGGACTGGCACTTTGCTGAACGTAATAATGCGTAACTCCGTAAGCCTTGTTTTAGACATTGAATTTCGGTCGCGTGAAATGCAACTAAGACAATAGATAATGAAGGCCGAAGCTTAATGAGGTTTATCATCTCATTATTGTCTTAGCACTGAGTGCATAAATTATACATGTCCTAATTACGCATTCAGTAATATTTTTTGTTAATTGACCGGGAAAAGCAAGACAAAATTTTGTTCATTTCTCGTTCAATTTTTAACCAAATTCAACCAAATTATAATCAGTTCTTCCTTAGCCGATGGGAAATGCATTCAAAAATTTCGTACGGATATGTTTGGTATTTCTTGAGTTATCGTGCTCACAGACAAACACACACACACATACACTCACACACACATACACACACACATACACACACACATACACACACACATACAAACCCAGATGATTACATAACCTCCTGGCGGAGGTAATAATTATAATATAGTCATCCACCATATATGAGCTATTCTGCAATCTGATTGGTTGAGATACTTGCAGTATATCACCTCATATACGGTGGGTAGCAAAAACAAAATGGTGGAAAAAACTAAATTAAAGAGTTTTGCGAACCGGAAAACAGCGAAATATTCGCTTTAGAAGCGACAAAAACGGACAGTAAGGATTCAAAAATCATTGACATGGTAGGAAATACATTTATTAAACTGGAAGTTTCTGCAAATTATTGATAGCAAAAACATGTTTACGAAAAATATTTTTCGAAAAGCCACACGGCTGAAAAAACATGTTTTGCAGTCTGTAAGTACTTTATACTTTACTCAGACATAAGGGGTGTCTGTTCTATTTTAAAAACGTATCATATACGGTGGATGTCTATATTATAAAACAATTATACCATTCGCTCTCGTCGTATATGAACTGATAGCAGACTCGGTTGCGCCTCGTCGGCTATCAGCTCATCGGTCAGTATAATCTGCAGACTGCGGACTGCAGACCGGACTGGGTACAAAATGCAGACTGGGGGTATAAAATGCAGACTGAGGATAAAATGCAGACTGGGGGTGAATTAGGGATATTTTACAAATTCCCGCCAAGCCATAGTCACGTGATCGTTCTTGTTGATAATATTAATGTTGAAGCTAGTCACTTTCATCAAAATGGGCCACAGCGATGTAGAGGTATTGATATTATATGAATATTTATATTAGTCTGCATTTTATCCTCAGTCTGCATTTTATACCCCCAGTCTGCATTTTGTACCCAGTCCGGTCTGCAGTCTGCAGTCCGCAGTCTGCAGATTATACTGACCGATCAGCTCATATACGACTCGATCGAGCTCAACGCATAATTGTTAATTATAGTTAATGTGTGATAAAAAAATAACAGAAAAAAATCCAAGCACATTGTCTCTAATTTCGTGAAGTATATGTATACAAGTATATGTATCGGAACTGGGTCCGACTTTAGCTTTAAAGTCAGATGTACTGACAGTACTGTACAGTACTGTACAGTACAGTACTGTACAGTACAGTACAGTACTGTACTGTACTGTACCGACAGTACCTTACTGACAGTACGTTTCTTCCTTTTGTTTAATAGACGGAGAGTCTGCCATCACCCTGGCTGATGTACTAATATTCGCAACAGGAGCAAGTCAGCCACCGCCATTGGGTTTTAACTCAACACCCGCACTAGAATTTACAGCTGGCAAATTTCCCACGGCAAATACCTGTGGCGTGACATTGTATATACCATTATTGTACGGGGAATACGAAGAGTTTAAAGACGCGATGGAATTCGCAATACAAAATTCGCCATCTTTTGGTCATGCTTGAATGACTGTGCAACATTGCTACTTTTTCACATAACCGTTTTAGTTAATAAAGTTCTAAGTTTTATATATAATGTAATGTTTCATTTGGTTTGTAAAAAGCACAAATTTCTATTTGGATATAATTATATATTCTAATTATATCATCAAGTTTCTTCCGACGAACTGAACAACACGGCGATAAATTTCTTTTCCGTCATCCCCAGATAATGGATCAATATTATTATGAAGGACACGTAATGCACTGTCCGACATGGGATTTTCAACATCCGGAACTTGAACATGCGGGATATCTGCAGAAAGCAGATCACGTACATCGACCCCACGCATTGGTACGTTTATAGTTCGGTTTCCCGAATGGAGAGAAGCCAAACGTATGTTAATCCAGAACAATTGGGCTGGGGTCTTTTGCCCTTCCGTTGAAACACGGTGATTGTTATGTGCAGCAACAAACTCAACAAGGGTCCTCTGGATACGCGGCAAATATGTGTAATGAAGACAAAATATGTCAGTGCTGTTGAGGGGGTCCAGAATACCTTCCCTTTCTAGCTCGTAGAAATCGGCTTTGTAGATGGACACTACCTGCTCATTGACTGCCCTGTTATGACGTTCGATCCGTTGATTGTGCACAGAGCTTCCAACAATTACTGATCGAGCATCCTCGCCCCAAAATTCGGTCATGTCCCTCCAAATAAGGACATTCTCTCCACCATAATCTGTGCGGACGTGAATTGGTTTCCCATACTTTTCCACCGCTTCTTGAAAAAGTGGGAAAACTGTTGTTGATTTATTGTTTCCAGAACAACGGCAAAATGTGATCAGGCGACTAAATCCATCTATTCCATGGTGTATGACCAAACTCCATCGAATCATCTTATGGTTTCCGTCTATATGCCACAAGTAGTTAGGGCAGGGAACAGAATAAACACGTCGGTTTATTGGTGGCCGCTTTCTCTCAGAAACAGTGGGATCAATGTGGTGTATTGCATTCCTAACCTGTTGACGCTGGACATGAATACCTTTCGCTTCTAAATGGCCCTGAACCATTACCTCTCCAGCATTAGGGTGGTTGACTTTAATCTCACCAACTGCTCGTAGCAATTCGTCTTGGTTTAAACCAGTGTGCCTAGTATAATTGATACCATATGTTGCAATAGCTTTGTGGATTAAAGGTCTTGAAACTTGCAACTCTTGGCAGATTTTTGAGATTGGAATCTTCAGTTTCAACATGGTTTCCAGTCTCTCTTTTGGCACTGTCTTAGCTGGTCTTCCAGGCTTTCTATACAAAAAATTTTGTTAGGTAATTAACTAAATTTTATTCATCCAAGATAATTTCAATCAATTTATCTGGCATAAAATTTGGTCATGCCACACATGATCATCAATGGCTTATTCTATAGACCATTGGTTGTTCATTGCATTACATAACGTTTATTACCTCTGTAAATTCCCATCTTCATTTGATACAAATCGATCCAGATTAGTAGATGATGTCAGATCAGAAACATCCTGTAAAGGTATGGTTTACCATTATAAAATAGTTATAGGAATACCTAATTATTAAGCCCGAATTGCACGCTCAAAAGTCAATGTAGCCAAGCCTTGAAATAAATTTGGACATACTCCGTGTATCACTAAATTTACCGGTCACAGCGGAATTTATGCTGTTGATTGTCACTCTCCTTCGTTTTTTTTTTCTGGGGGGGGGGGCATGGGCTCACAGGGTAGGTTGCCAAAAATTATGTACCTTGAATTTTCCAGCCCCCCCCCCGCACTCTCTGTATGTTATAACCAGTCCCTAAACACATAGGTGGGCTGGCCAGTGATAAACCCAAAACTAAGAAGATCTCTGAACCTGGAAAAAATCATCGGCACCCCCCACCCCCCCCTACGCTTCTGTACATCCAAATTCTATTTGAAAAGATTTAAAACCATAATCACCTGTTCCCTTACCCGACTACTGCTTGCAGTTCCAGAAGTGCCAGCGGAAGAAAGAGTTTGCCGGGCTTGGGGGATAGCAGCTGGTGAGTCAACAGGAGGCAGTTGCTATTGAGATTTATAAAATACAAACATTCGGTTATACACTGTTCTTTATTCATAGAAAATTCAAAAGGCAAAAAGGGCGAAATATTATCTATACTTACCGGCGATAATGTAGCAGTCAATGCGTCGGTAACTGCTCTAGAAACGGCTTCTGAAATCGTCCTCGAAAGAGCTTCGCGATCGGCGTCCATATTTTAATAAGGAGCGCTTTCAGCCTTGGTAACCACGCATTTTTCCCGCCAATAATAAATTTACACTTGGCGCGTGAAGGTGTAAATTTATGATACGCGAAATTTCCATTATATGTAAATAATGCTTGTAAGCGAGCAATGCAATCCTTATTTATAAATAACTACTAAACTGCACTTAGCTTTGCTATATATAACTAATAGATTTGTCAACTTATTTATATGTAAATAATAAGAGACGAAACAGCACATTATTTATAAATAATTACTCTAAGAAACCAACTTGTATATAAATAATTGTTTTACAACTTTTATTATTTATAAATAATAGCATTAAAACTTTCATTATATATAAATAATACAGATCTCCTAAAGTTATTATATATAAATAATTGTTTTACAACTTTCATTATATATAAATAATAGCATTAAAACTTTCATTATATATAAATAATACAGATCTCCTTTAGTTATTATATATAAATAATTGTTTTACAACATTCATTATATATAAATAATGTAAATCTCTAAAAGTTATTATATATAAATAATGTCATCTTTATTCCATTATTTATAAATAACGGAAAAGTTCACCCGTTTTTCTACTAAATAATAAATTTACACTTGGCGCCCCATAGCACTTTACCAGATAAATAACCATTAACATAACATTGTTGAGTTCTATCAGTAAAATATGATTTAAACCAATGTAATGTTTTATCACAGATTCCAAGAAAACTTAATTTGGTTAATAATATATTATGATCAACAGTGTCAAAAGCTTTTTTTAAATCTAAAAATAAGACACCATTGATCATACCTCTATCAATATTATAATACCACTGGTTAGTTAAATCCAGTAATGCAGTTACAGTTGAATGCAGTGACCTAAAACCGAATTGCCTTGAATTAATTAGATCAAATTTCATTAGATATGCATAAATCTGATTATAGACCAATCTCTCAAATAACGTAGAAATACCAAGCAAAACAGATATTGGTCTATAATTATTTGAGTCACTGCGTTCACCGGATTTAAAAATAGGAAAAACCTTTGCTGATTTCCACTCATTTGGAAAAACATTATGCTTAATGGATAAATTAAATAGGCTGGCAAGATGTCCATAAATACAAGGTGCTGCGATTTTTAATATCTTGTTCGAAATATTATCTAGACCAGTGGCCTTAGAAATGTCGAGCTTCTTCAATAATTTTAAAACTTCTTCGGGTTCTATTTCGACAAAAGCAAAAGACGAATTTGCTTTTTTTAAATATTTTGTCGGATCAACATTATAATCTGGAACTTCAGCAGCAAGCTTTGCTCCAATTTGTGAAAAATATTTATTAAAATGATTTGAAATATCGCATGCGTTTGTTAAAGTGTCGTTAACATTTGAAGGAATTTTAATTTCATTAATTTCAGTATTTTTGGATGGTTTGCCGATAAGACTATTTAACGTTTTCCAAGTACCTTTTGAGTCGTCTTTAAACTCGTTTAATTTATTTTGATAATAACGACGTTTCGCAGTGATCACGTCTGAATATATAAATATATATATATATATATATATATATATATATATATATATATATATATATATATATATATATATATATATATATATATATATATATATATATGCATTTGTCTGACAACACAGTGTACGGTCATATATTTTCAGAATGACAAGACAGGAACGTTCACCCATCTGCAAGGAGTTCCTAAAGCATTACTACCAGGCGTTGGGGGAAAAAAGATTCTTGATTTTTGGTGGGATGCCATCAATGTGTAAGTATTGTACGTTTACATCTTCCGATAAAAGCCCAGTCCTATAAGTACATCCGGTTCCGAAATGAATAATTGTAACTTTTGAAAGGAAAGATGCTACATGATGAGGGTAACTTGGATATGGAAGCATCTCGTTCATGAATTGGTTATATGCACAATTGGATAGCCTTTCTTCATTTAATATCTTGCATAGTGTGAAATTCCAGTCTAGGTAGCGATGAAATGCTCGAAATATCTAAGTTCTTTTTCTATTTCTCAGGGGCCGGTTGTTCAAAGCTGGGTTAGCTTAACCCTAGGTTAACCTAAAATTCAAAGCAAACTTCCCAACAGCTTGGTTATAAATTTGGAAATATTTCTTTAGAGATCTTGTCTGAATCAGTAGAAGTTTTCTTCTTTGAAGTTTTGAAATAATCAGACGTGCAGAAAAACATGAACTAAATTAACAACAGGTTACATTTTGACCCAGGGTTAGCGCTAATCCTGCTTTGAACAACCGGCCCCAAGTAAATAAAATCTGCAACCTGACTTTCCCCTTTACACGAGTGAAATTATCTGGCGTTAGCCAACATAAAGGGTCTCCCATGGGGGGGGGGGGTCCCGTGTTCATGCACTTGAAAAGTTTTCCTTGTTCTCAAAAGATATTTCATCATGTTCCCTTGTCCTGTATTTTTGGCTTTGTTCCTGTGTTCCCATTGCCTTGTTCCCTAACCCCCCTGGGAGACCATCAACATACAATACATTGTAAGATAAAATTTCCCGTTTATGGTAATAAACGTTTGCCTGTTTTAGGAGGCAATACTTTACCGCAGTTTATTTGGTAACTAATGCAGACAAGTAAGTTTTAGTGTATTGCATTCCTATAACTGGATTTTGAATAACACTTCGTGACACTGTATTTGGTACCCTACGATAATAAATCTACCATTGTTTTCATTGATATTTTAAACAAATTGAAACATATATACTTGCACGGAATTTCAGCACGGCCCAATATATATGATTAGAGAGTTGTTGAGATTTTCCCGAATGTGGCAGTTACTCATACACGTCTTCTAAGAAGAACAAAATACTATACACAGAATATTTCTATATCAACGTTTTGTTTAATTTTTATGGAGACTTAAATTCATGCTATATATGAAGTAGTCGAGTCATAAACAGCAGGCACGGCACAGTTTTCACTTCTATAGTTGCATTGGGCGTAAAAAAAATACCTGTGGTTCCGGTTCCCGACCGACCCTATTTTTTTCTGCTGACCCTATTATTTTTTCAACGTGATTGACCGTGCGACCCTATTTTCTCCGGGTGGCTACGGGATGCTGCCAAAATGGCGTCTGTTGTCACAGTAATTATTGAAAAAACCATGAAAAAAATATTCAAGAAAAAAATTATTTCTGACCTACCGACCCTAATTTTTTCGCGATATGAAACCGGAACCACAAGTATTTTTTTTTAGGCCTTGCTGTCCTGAATGTATAGAATCAGTAACTGCATGCATGCATAGTGCACGTGATGCCCAGTAAAGCCCGTACAGACGAGCAAGTTTTCCTTGACAAGTTTTACTTGTCCATGTCTACGGGGAAAATTTGACGAATTTTTTCCTTGACAAGCAGCCTTGTTCAAACGCTAGTCCCGCCACCTTTTGAACATGGAAATTTGTTCGTGTGTGTAAGGCCGTCAAGGAAAGCTTGACAAGCAAGGGTGAAATGTAGTACCGTAGTCAGTTTCATTTGGTTGAAACTAGCAGCTTTGAACGAAAATTGTCAATGACATGACATTGTTTACGCACTTAGTCCCCAGTTAAAAATTACATGCACGATGCCGGATTCGTATCGGAGCAACGTCAATCTTACAACTTTTCTTATTTGAAGTTTTTGTTTAATTCTGTTATATTTTCATAATTTTAATACTAATATACTGAAGTAGTCAATAACACAATAAATAGTCAATAACGCCTACATGTTAGTACGATATGATTAAAGTGAAAATTATGCAGGTACATTCCAATACGATTAAGCTTTAGACATATAATCTTGTGGGAGGAAACACGAAGAGAGGCGTGGTTACTTAATTTAGGACTTTTAAGGAACTGATATTCTGGGATTTTATTAGCAAAAGTCATGGGTAGAAATCATGGATGTATTTCCAATTTAATTGGTAATTTTATAATATCTGCACATGCATTAGATACAAACATTACGAGCGGTGGGCGACGGCACACGACTTTCCTATGGAGAATATTGTCAATGATGGATCTACAACGTTTCATTCTAGGTGAGTTTCTACAGAGTCCTAATTTTTATTTAATATTTTAGTCTATTATATTTAATACTTCGGTTGAGCGTGATATGAAGAATTATTAAGGCGTAGTTTGTGTTATTAACCGAAGCCGAATGCCGAGGTTGATATCATGCGAAAACCAAATTCAGTAATTGTTTTATTATTTATATTAAACAACGGCCGGTTGTATGAAATCATTTGTGTTGTGACACAATTATCTTTGGCATGACGTCATAACGTTTAATATTATCTTTTCATATCAACGTTATGACGTCACTCCGTTGAATATTATATCAAAATTCCTTATTTGGTCAGCCATTGAGTTGATACAGTATGACGATTTCACAGCTGGATGTTAGCCAATCAGATATCATGAATTATTTTAAATAAATAATATAATTTCGTTATACATTTGAATGAAAACCTTAGCTTATGCATACAGTATATGTTTAACATTCAATCCATTCAAAGGCTAATGAGCGAAATGTTCTTAAAAGGCTTGGTTCTGTCGCAGATTTCGAATTAGTATTGCGCAACAAGAATATTCAGGATGATGTGTTGGTGGTAAGGAATGTTATGTGTTAGACAGAATATAGTGATTGTTAGATTTGAAATTTCAATTATAGTGTGCTTTCCAAAGAGGTTTCTTGGGAATTCTAAGGCTCGCCCATGCAACAGGCCCACATACAAACTCAATGTCGAATTCGTGAGATTTTTATTTGTTCCTATAAATATTGTGTTCGTTTTTGGATAATCACTTTAAAATAGTGTATATTTATTATTGAATAGAAATATTGTTTTCCACTATTCCACCTTACATGCATGATTTTGAGCTTAGCTATAGTGACACATCATGCACATCTTTTTCATACAGCCTAGTAAGAAATTCATAATTCTTATCATATTTTCGTTTAATAGGTGGCTGGTGACATGTTGTTTCAAGATCAAAAGTTTGATATATGTCAAGTGATTAATTATTTTAAAACAAAGGTAGCCAAGTATAAATGTCATAATATATTTACCTGGGGCTGGTTCCATGATTATTCTGGGGCTGGTTCCAGATGGCTGACGACGATCAGAAAGTGCACTGAAAAAGTGTCATGTCGCTGAGTATTCATTGCATCGCATTGCAGGCTCAGCTCAGTCTAGAATTTTACTGTGCTTTCTGTTTGCTTTATTTCGACTTACTTGTGGCGAAATAAGGCTCAAATTGTGTAAATATGATCTTAATTACTGTATGTTTGAGTTACCCAATAATTTTCTTCGGTCTTTATTAACATTCTCTTAATCTTGAAATTTTACTAATAAATCAAAACCTTTGCCGACTCTATTTTGAAATAAATTGGCAGTTTTTCCTCATTAATATTCAGTACTCGTCAGCATGTACATTCTACGCATATTCAGTTAAGATGAGCTAGCTCATCTTATTATCTTAGCTCTCAATTTGTGACCGCAATTTCTGATCGTGTCTGTACCCGCCGCGGATACTCGGAGAGTGAGTTCTTCAAGCTTGCTAGAATTGGCCTTCGATTGGCATAACCCATCCAGTTTAAAAGTTTAGTTTTAATAAATTGAAGTCTTCTTACACTTATTCTTGAGTTTATATCCATAGTTTCACAACTTTTCAGCCATTTTCAAGGATTGAAAAAATCACTATCAAGTGGATAACGCTATACGACCTTCGTACAACCGACCCCTGACGTAAGCCGCATTTATATGAGTTATTCTCAGAATAATTTTTGTTATACAGACCAAGTATTTGAAAGGTTTTCGGTCGCACCTCCTGCTTGCACGAATTGCAATCCGTAGTTTAACTACGTCTTTTTACTACGACTTTTAGAAAGGCGAACTTGCAATCTATTATGAAATGGATGAAAGTGAGAGTACTCGATCAAGAGGAATCATTGAAGTTTGCCCAAAGACAAACAAGTAAGGAATAAAGAAGCAATCAAGCAAGTTATCGTTTAGCTAAATAGTGCATGTTTGAACGTAGTCAAACTGATGGCCTATATATAACGGGGTTATATTAAATCAGCGTAATAACGTCCCAATCCTTGTTTCGTCCCCTCGTAGACGTGATTCGGTACAGTTAATTATGACTGATTGTTGGAAAACATTCCTAACGAGTCATTTCAGCTGTTCGGTCGGTCGTGCCTGGCTTCCTGTTTACGGTGAGTGCACGAGTTTGAACAATGCTACTTTTGGCCAATGAAGCATGCACTTTATGTTCACAAGTAATAAACAAAAGCTCAAACAATTATTGCTTACAAGAGAGAGGACGATTTGTTGTTTTAGAACTAAATCCATACGTGTGCCGAGACTGTTATCAGAAACTGAAGAAACGCAGAAGTTTGTCATCTCAACTTGACATTAACATCGAAAAGGCATTGGAGTGCATACACAACGACAAAAACAAACAGACGTCTCGGCATACGTATGGAGTTCAAACTTGAATAACAAATGGAAGACTTTTTGGATCTGTTAAAATAACAAATTGACCTTTCCCCTCTACACAATACTTGATTAGCCATGACAGTGTTCAAACTTACTCAGGGTGAAACAGGATGCCTGGCATGACCGCCAATGAAATGTCTCGTTAGAAATGTTTAAAAACAACCAATCACCATTAACCATTGAAATAAGCCATTAACTATACAGAATCGTGTTTACCCGGGGGGGGGGGAGGGGGGTGAAACAAGGAATGGGGCGTTATTACGCTGATGGAATATAACCCTGTAAATAATGGTCGTCTGCCGCGCAGGCTAACAAATAATGAAGGTTATTAAAGTCCATGCAAATTCATCAAGTCTCTATTTGATTGGCTTACATGTAGCCAAAGGTGAAATCGTCATATCAGCATATTATCTATAGTGTATATGCATGTTGGACCGTTGGTTGACGTTTATAAGCAAAAGGGAAAGCTATATACTGGAGAAAAGCGTTTCAGGGATATGTGTCGTTTAATTGTTCTTGATTTCTGATTTCAGAATTCTTAAGTTTCTTGAAAAACCAGAACCTCACGAAACGGAATCGAGGTTAGCCAGCGTGGTAAGAAATTTAATTGTTTTGCTTATCTTAAATAACTGTACTCGATAAATTGATTGGACACTTTTTCAACATGGCATAGATGTGACGAGTTTCGATATGTTTATGTTGCCTTTCCTTAGATCAAATGAGAAAGGAGCATAGCTAAGCAGGCATCAGGCGCCAATGGTCCTTATTCTCACATGTATGGCGCGAAGCGTCCTTTGGCCCTTCAATGACGTCATTTTCGCATTCTATATTTCGCTAGGATCATCTATTCATTTCGTATTGCTTTCCTTCCTGCCCGTCTGAATTATAGTCTGCATGTATACCGTCGCCTTGGGTTCAAGCTGGGTCGGTGTATACATGCAGTATATGCGTTGATAACTCCATATTTGCGTTGAAACAGAAACTTCAACTTCATGCTCAATATAGGTGAATCTCATAACCTCATGTTTTTTAATGTTTTGGTAATATACTTACTTTTTGTTCAGGTTTTTTACTGCCTTCGTAAAGAGACATTGTATACTGTTGAAAAGTTCCTTCAGAAAAACACGAAACCTGACCAAAGAGTATTTGGCAAGTATATGGTAAGCTGTCGTTGATTTCTGGTTCTTTTTAAGATAATTGTATGTAGCCTGATTGGGTGCCATTATGGTAAAATGGTGGGAATGAATAAACGCAGGTTAACGACAAAGTGCGTAAAAAGGGCTTTTTGCATGATCGTTTAATTTTTATGTGAGATACTATATCTGTATATGATGCATATTTTGAAGTAAAGTTCCACTGCAGTGTATTGCAAAATATCTTTAATATCTACCTGGACCTTACTAGATGGGAGATGGGGAGTTTCAGTAAATTGTGGCTTTTTGGGTAAGGGAGGGCCTATATATAGTTGATTTTTAATTCGTCGTCGAGTTTTAATTCGGGGGGTGCATGAGTAAATCCAAGGGAAAACTCCGTGTCTACATATACAGGGTGTATCAAAATAAACGCAATTCATCTTTTGTGCTTAATAACTTTCGAAATACTATTTCTAGTTAAACGCTTTTAGGCTTACTTCAAAGCCTGTTCTTTTCTCTTTCAAACAAACTATTATCCTTGTCTCCAATGCTAGTAATAATTGCACAGGAAAAGATTTAGTAAAACCTATCATTTTTAGTTGCTGTTTAATTATGCAAGTTTACTATGTTATTGTTTAGTCGATTTAAATGTTAGAATTTTCTTCTTTAAACTTTAATGTTGTCGTCACTACATCTGGAAAACCACGTAAGAACAAATTAAAAGTATTTTAAAAGAGACCAGGTTGTTTGAAAATCCTAAACGAATGCTAAAAATCGTCAAAACATTCTGGTGTCTGAGCCAGAGTGTCATCGAATTGCGATGTAATGTAAACAGAAATTATAGCAAGTTGATGTCAGTCAGCTTAGATGGTCCAAGCCAAAATTATATCGCATTTGAAGTTTCAAACTGAGTTAAAAATAGTGGAAGAAAAGCCGTAATTATACTTATTGTTACAATCCATTTAATAAAATGCAACATTTTTTTGTTTTAATGAAAAAATCAGTTATTTTCATGAGAACGATTTGTTATTCCATCTCAATTTTTTTAATCTCCAATCGCAATAACGTAAAGTATTATTACCCGCGAACCAATGAGTCAAATTTAAGAAACAACCCACTGTTAGAAAGCTGAATGGCTACGCTTTAAAATGAATGTAAACTTTAACGTTTTCGTCTATTATTTGTTTAGCAATTTACATTTCAGTCGAGGATTGCGCTTTTTTTGATACACCCTGTATAATAACTATTCTTATAATAAAACTTTTTCTTACACACTTATATTATCACGTCGTTGTCTCGCTGTAAGGTTTCGAAAAACTTGCTTTATGTTTTAAGGAATGGCTTGTAACGCAGACACCAGTTTTTGGGATGAAATTACCAACAGGATTCCAGTTGATAGGACAAGTGGTATAAGTCAAATATATACTTTATATTGGCCAAAACTAATCTTAAATAACATAAATTAAATATAGCTGATAATATACAAACGATCAATTGTTATATATGGATGAAAATTTGTTGCACGATAACTTAATGATTATGACTTAATACATGATTATTGAAAATAGACTGTTATACGTTACGAATTGTTGTCAGAACTTCATAATAGGAAAATCAATTTTTGAATTTCGTTTAATGTGCACTGTATATATGAGCACTAAACTTATTCCACGTGATTCTTGACAAGCATGCAATAAATTGATTATAATACTACTCTATTTAGGGTTTGTCCGACTACCAAAGATGGGTTGCCTACTTTGCCGGTATTAAGAACCAAGCTGTAAAAAATTCCTTTTCGTCACGTGTATACGCGAGGTCAGTGTTATCCATATCTAGAACATTGCATGTATAAGATCAGAATAGAGATCACAGTCTATATAGAGAATCCTGAAGGACGTAAGTGGCGGGAGGATACACTCTCCCATTTTCCTAGCCATTATGAGGTCTCAATCCCAAATCACCCGATTCAGCGATTTGGCAAATCCTGTTCCCTGCATCAAATGCCATTCCATTTTCTGTCCCAGTGAAAGTACGATTTTACCTTTTCAGGACTCAAAGTAAATAGAAATTGAATAAAACAATCATGCATGCATTACCATACTGAATTGTTGCTTTTAGTAATATTTCTGTATGTATGGATACAATTATTTATTAGTGTGTATATTATTTATTAGCGTGTATATTAGAAAACCTGACAATATTAGTGAGAATATAGATTAGAAGTTTTCCAGGCAGTTGATCACTATATCACAGAATAGAGACTTTACAGAAGCCCGACTTCCTGGTTTTTCCTATGATTTTGGCGTAACCGTAATTCGTCATCAAAATGCTGACGCCATGTCCTCGCCAGTGCGCTTATATGAGAGGCATTCACCCCCTGATAATATTCAAAATGGTGGACATCCAGGGGGTAAATGCCTCTCATAAGCGCAATGGCTAGGACCATGGCGTCAGCATTTTGATGACGAATCATGGCGTGGCAGCGGCTATGGGCAGCGGTTGCGCTTTTTTGGCTGAGTCGACCTTCTGTGTGTCTTTATTCTGTGACTATACCATATAGAGCAGTACAGTAATTAACGGCCATCCATTAAGGTGACTCGATAGGTTTACGAAAAAAATTTTGAATAATGATCCTATATCTAACAATGTCATAAAAATGCTAGATTCCTACCCTATATATTCAGGGGGTGGACATTAAAAAGTTGTCCCCCATAGAAGATGGTATATCATAAGTCTTGAACTTACTTGTTAATTTTGTGTACGCATGTGAATTGAAATTGTGATTTCAAGTCAAGCATTAGAAAAATAGATACGTTTAGAGAGTTTTTACTCAAATTCAAGATGGCGGACTTGTCTCCTCTCCTGTGGCTTAATTAAGTATAGCTGTGGTCCATGCAACACCTGCGTATTTCTATATTACAGGCTTGGCCTGGTGGGTAATCCTTCTGATGGTTTCTATGGTAAAACTATTGCGATGTCAATATCAAACTTCTGGGCTGATGTCACTATCACTGAAAGCGAGAAACTGGCGAGTTTAAATATCATATAATACTATTACCTAATATTTATATTCTTTCCTTTTATTTGTCCGTTCCTACGCTGATCAGGGTTTTCTTGCATGCACGTTCGCGGAAATATCGTTTATATTGCTATTTAAGGCACGTTTTCCACCTCTGCGTGTTTTTCTTCTGTGGACCCAAGTCAATTACATCAGCCGACATTGACACTTCATTACTATATATACCACCTTATTTCTGTAATTGTACATAGTCCTAAACAACAGTCTGCAAAGTAGGCGCTCGGGCGTTTACCTAGCGCCTGCTTGCAGGCTACCTAAACAATATAACTTTGGTAATTAAGACTACGTTTACACTGTACCGGATAGCTTCCGTAGCGAAGTGAAAAAATACCTATCCGTACCTTCTAGGAACGCTATTTTCAGAGAATTATTGCAGAGAGAAGTCGTTTCGCTCAGCTACTGGAAGTTACACATTCTGTATCAGATAGGTGCTTTTTCGTGCCGCTACGGAAAACCATACAGTATAGTGTAAACGTAACCTAAGATGTCCGAATAAGAAACAAGGTTCTTGGCCAAAATACCAATATCATGAATATTCATCTTCTGTAATATCTGTAATTACAGGTTTTAGTCCCACATCCTTTGAATGATCCAACACAATTTGGAAGTTTAGGAGATCTTCATGGGATAAGCAGAAAAGAAGGGTAAGCCATGCAACTACTGTATAGATTTAAAAAAACCCAGCTGAAGTAATACTGTAACAAACTGTACTACTATTATAAATTCTTTGTATGGCGACAAAACATATAATACTTCAGTTTGTGGAAACACCACGTAAATTTATTACTGCAAAGATTTCAATCCGTAAGCCCGGATCTTCATCAGTGATCTTCTTCACATACTATTAGCACTGATGAAGATCCGGGTTTACGGATCGAAAGGTTTGCAGTAATAAATTTATGTGGTGTTTCCACAAACTAAAGTATTATATGTACTACTATAATAGACCTTAGAGGTACTTACGTCACGCAATTTTTAATGCAGAGGTCTTCTGGAATGCACAGTGCATTGTGGGATACTTTTGGGTTAATAATTCATTGTTTGAAAATTACGTCACGTATAAGCACTTCTAAGGTCCATTAATACTAATTCAACACTCTCTTTAATTTAACGCGAACATTTTTGCACTATGAGTCGATTCATTTATTTATTATACTTCATGGTTGGTGACGTGTGGGGTACAATTTTTATTTACGAGTTGTGAAGGTTCGCCAAACTCACTCATTCGGTTAGTCTTCCTCGCAGCCGCTCTTTGTATCATTCGATAAACCTATGCTCTCATTAATTCACTCACTTGTTCACGACGTCTCGTACGAGTAAAATCGTAAGCCCTCGCCAACCAACAACCATGAAGTAACCCATATATTATTTTATATGTTCTTATGTTACGGTATACGGCCAATAGCACATAATAGATAATCGATGGACATTTAACAATTATTGAATGAGGTTGAGCACGATATGAAGAATTATCAAGCCCGAAGTTTGCCGTTATCAACCGAAGCCGAAGGCTGAGGTTGATAACGGCAAACTGAGGGCTTGATAATTCTTCATATTGTATGAAAACCGAATTCAATAATTGTTTTATTATTTATTTAAAAAATTCAAAACAAACATTTGTATTTTATTTGTATTGAGAAAAAAACAATTCCTTAGTCCTTCGGCAGCCGTCGTCGTCGTCATACCTGTTTCGTCAATTTAAATGAGGCACACAATATCGTAAACAGTATCGTAATAAGGTTTCGAACCTACGAACAAAATATGAATTTACATAAATAATTACCCCTAATCCCACATTACAACAGGCCAAATGAGGCATTAATTAACGTACTTACACTATGGGCTCTCATAAGTCCAAGTCATGTATATATGTCTCGCCGGAGACAGCTTCCACAGTTCTCAACGGAGAATAAACCAGTCCAAAC